CTTTTCTGCATAATTTTATATTATTGTTAATGATTAAATAATTAAAGCAACAAAACAACCTGAAGAGCCGGTTCGGAGCCGAAAGAGCCGGCTCTTTTTAATGAGCCGAGCCGAAAGAGCCGGATCTCTAAAAAGAGCCGGAAATCCCATCACTAATGGGAAGTATGTTTTATCATCAGGTAAAATACACCCACCATTAGCGATACTGTTACAAAACCATAGGTTAGTGTTCTAGGGTTAACAAACGTTCGACACCAATACTATCCAGACATTGAGATACGAATGATCTTCCACAAAAGTTGATTCAATTTCCCGTCTATAGACAGTGATTTTGTACCTTTCAAACTTTTGGTAATACGGTGAAGGCAAGTTGTATGAAATACCTTCAGTGCTCAAGTAGATCAGAATGGGTTATGGTTAATTATAAGGACCCAGTTACTTTCTCCACATAGGGCCAGGGAGGTTTGGCTAACGTCTATCCATCCGTCTTCTTCTTCTGCTTATCCGGGGCCAGCAGCCCAAGCAGAGAAGCCCAGACCTCCCTCTCTCCAGCCACCTCCTCCGCCTTGTCCATGGGAACACCGAGGCGTTCCCAGGCCAGCCGAGAGATATAATCTCTCCAGCATGTCCTGGGTCTGCCCCGGGGCCTCTTCCCAGTGGGACATGACCAGAACACCTCACCCAGGAGGCATCCTTGTCAGATGCCCGAACCACCTCAACTGGCTCTTTTCGATGTGAAGGAGCAGCAGCTCTACTCTGAGCCCCTCCCAGATGGCCAAACTTCTCACCCTATCTCTAAGGGAGAGGCCAGCTGACTTTCTTCCATTAATAAATAAAATCACAATTTAAAAATGGATCTTGTATTTACTCAAGTTTCTCATACCCCATATCCTGCTTTGGAGTACAGAGCGCTGGAATTACTAGCTCGGGCAGTCATCATGGTAAAAGGAAGATGGAATTGCCAAAAGATGCTGTGGATGTTTCTATTTCGGTCTAGGTTTAAGGACTGCTACATCCCTACTTAAGAGAATAATCTTTGATGCCTTTTCAGACTTCTCAGGGAGGATTACGGTTTGTCAGGCAGCCAATTCAGCAGCAGCAGCAGCAGCAGCATTAACACCTTTCATTGCACGAATAGAATAGAATAATAACCCTTTATTGTACAACAAAAAGCAGTGGGAAGGTGAGAGCCAGCTGCCGGCATGCCGTATTGAACCTGTCAAACTAACCTTTTACGCCCATGCTTTTTGTCATGACTATTCACTTTATATACGAACACACACACGAATTCTTCAACCAGCTTATTTGTGCCTAAAGGCTCTCCTGCCCTCTCTAGCCGGGGCCAGCTGGCTTTCTGAAAGAGCACATTCTTCCATCTGCTGCTCAGCTCTCAGTCACAGGAGACGAATCCACCGGCTGCTGTGAAGGCACGGAGACACAACATGCCAACTACAACCCTGAGCTCGCTGCGAGTGCCCAGCAGAGGTGAACACCTCAGGTCCGCAAGACTAAGCTCAACATTTCTTTAAACAAACAAACAAAACAATAAGCAACACAAAGTTTGCTTCAAGAGCATCCCTGACAGAGGCGACTCCTGAAGGAAGAGGAAACTTGGCAAACGGTCGCTCTGAACTCTGGAGTCACCGTTAAACACTGACTCATGATGGAGACCATTAAAAGCAATACACTGCTCCCCGCCTTATGCCGCTTGCCAGGACAAACTCATTCCACGGCAGCTCGGGAGCATCCTGTTCACTCTCCCCTGTGCATTAAACATCAGTCACGCGTGTGAGGGCTTCCATTTAAACTGGGCTCGGTGAGTCGTAGCCACTAACTCAACCTGCTAGCTAACTGCTAACAAGAGCTGCTGGCTAACGTTGGCAAAAACTTTAGAAAGAAAAAAAAAGAGAGAAGTGGAAGCGTTGTGGATGACAGCGTTGACAGGGATCATGTGAGACATCTTACCTCAATTTGCGTATGTAAAGAAACTGGTGGAAGACCTCTTCGTAGCTAGCATTTCTCCTGCCAGCAGTCCAGCATGTGTCTGAGTATCCAGCAGCAGACACTGTGTATGTGTGGACGTGTCTGCAAACTGGAAGGCTGGAAGGCTAACCTTAAAGCTAACAGTTACCAGTTAGCCACCGGCTCGCTAACCTGGACAGTTAGCTCCAGCGGCCTCAAGGTGTCGCTAATTCACCTACAGCGAGCTGCAGAAAACACCGTTGAATAAATCCGCCTGTATGTTGTCGATTTCGAGTTTTTAAATAAATATAGCCAGCAAACACTTTTTTGGAAAGATTTAAGCTCAATATGAATCATTCCTTTTCCCAGTGTAAAAAACAAATAAAAAACCTATTATGTATCATAACACTTTGCTTCATGACACCTTGTTTGTAGTTTTAACCTGTTATACACTTATCAACCACCCTGCCTTAGGAATAAAATCAAGTCTGTCAGCCGTCAAATCTAATTGGAAAAATTCCTCATACTGCACATGCAGCTGTTTTTCCCCACAGCCATATTAGGATCTCTGCCTGCTGCCAAATTTTTGTGAAACATTTTTTTTCTTTATTATCCCCGTTTTATCTAAAATAATGAAAACAAAATATATATACATAAAAAAATGAATCACCCTGAGAGACACCTTTAGAAGATATCGCAGATACTTTATTTTAACACGGGTGTACATTTCATTTGAAGATTTGGGACCCACTCCAAGGAAATTTTGAATTTTAGACATTTAATTTATGGCAGTTTTTTTTTATATACCTTTTCTGCATCCATTTATGATGGAAATGTTTTTATCCATATACAGAAAAACAAAAATTGGGCACCAAGTACCAATTCAGTTTTCTTTTGTAGATCACTTGTAAAGATTTTAATCTTTAATGGCAGCAGACTGATGGAATATGGAAAAAAACAGACTTACTGATTAATAGCATATTAAAAATCAGTCCTTAAGTTAAATCAGTGATGCACGTGTGGTTGTTTATCTGTTTTACCCCAACATTATAATTTTCTTCCCCATTTATGTCACAATAAATAGCATCAGAAATTATGACTGAGTCAGTAAATAGAAAATTTGTCATTTAATGCAACATAATTGTGACTGAATTACAATTAATCTCATGGAAACAAATCACCAAACTGACAGACAGGATGTTTCATACAGGTATATATTACAATGTGCCTTGTTATATAATACAGTCAGGTTCTGTTTTTAATAAAAATAAGCACTGGAGGAGAAAGTGATACTTTTTTTTAAATTTTATTGTAAATTGGACATTATGCAAATTACTTTTGCGACTGATGACTTGTTAATTAAGCTTGTTAAGTGGTCACAGAACTCCCTGCACTGAGTGAGAGTTCAGACGATGTCAAGTCAAAAGGTAGCCAGGAGTGCTGCAAGCTGGAGAGCGCACACACAGGACAAAGGGTGAGGGGGAAGTACCAAAATGAGAGAACAAGAACATTGAGTGGCTGACAGTGGTGGCTGCTTGTGCCAAATATATCAGTCAATGAACACAAAACTTCTTTTTTTTGGGTGGTGGTGAGGGCACGAGGGGTGTGGGGTGGGGAGTTGTTTGTTTCAGCCATAGTAACTGACTTCCTCTGTAAATGCAGACAAAAATTCTCCCAGAAATGAATTTGTTTTCACCATTATTGCAAATTCTAACCAATTTTCCAAACAAAAAGGTGTGGTCTCACTGATGCAATACTTACTGCACACATGATATTTTATTTCATAAGGGTGTTTATGCAAACAAGTGTCCACCCTGTGTCCTATGACTCGCAAAGTTTCCTCAAGATAGATTTTCCCAAATACGATCACAAATTCAGTATACAGGAGTTAAGAGTGTCTGTATAAAATCAAAACAGTCATCCAATGTGTCATTTGATGTCTGTGAGACCAAACCTTTCTTTGCCCCCGTTTTCTCTAATTGTTTGTACAAAGACGATACAACTATCCAGTCATGCAACATTTTTTTGGATGGGGATGGAGGGGCTGGGGGCAGGAGTGGGGATCTGACTGTTATCTTTGCGGTTTTTAAGCATTCTGCATCTCTTTGCCAATCTTGTAGCTCAGGATCTTGTTCCAGTCGATCTTGGTACGTGTCACAGGAAGCTGGCGGCGTAAGGCTTTGAAGGTAGTGTCCGACATGGTCTGGTAATTCTCGTTGATGGCCGTCTACAAGGAATGAAATAAGGATGAAGACAGAGAGGGGACTGGATTAAAAAAAACCTATTCAAATAAATCCAAATTTTCCCCAGGTCTGAAGAAGTCTGTGTGGTGTAGGAAAATAGAGTTTTGGATTTTTACTTGACTTAATAATGGTCTATAACAGCCAACAGAAAATGTTATAACCACATTAGGGTATGTCAGAGTTTTCTCCAGGCCTTGTTGTGAAAGTCCAGCTTTCTCTAAAAATGTCCAGCTTCATCCAAGTGACTCAGCTTTCTATTCATTGTCACTCTAAAACCTGACTTCCGTTTGCGAACGTGTAAAATGTTTTCATTATCTCCTGACTTGAGTAACACAAACTCCTCACAACTAAAAGTAACAGATTATCACACAAAACTAAAGCCAAACAACAAAAGATTTTAGTGTGGCAGTAAGTGCTGGAGTCATAACTGTAAAATGTTTCCATCATTTGTGAGGACTTCTGATCTGAGGTGAAAGTTCAGGTTCAACGAAATCTCCTGACATACCTGATAGTCATTCTCTGCAGCCTCCATGATCTTAACAAACTCCTTTGCAGTTGCAGCCTCATTCTGAAAACATGACATTCATTTGAAGAGGGGAGAGGACAAGGCATCCAACAAAAAAGTAACTTTAAAACCTACACTGAAGCTACAGAGCAGAAAACCTCCCCTGGAAGCTGGTGCCAGGTCAAAACTTAATTACTGACAAAATTACAAGTAATCACCCTAAATACATACAAATGTAAAAGTATGGGGACTGATTGTTGCAGCTTCTGCTTGGACTTCACAGAAATACTCACAGAAATTGACATGGACTCCTGAACCTCTTTGTGGCTCACCAGCTGGACATTTCCATCCTCATAGTAATGAACCTAGAAATACATGTGGAAATATATAGTGTATTTCTAACCAAAATTTCTTCTGTGCCATGAAATGATTGGAGCTGTAAAAAAACAAAGAGCTGTGTGCCAACAAACAAATCTCAAGAGGTCTAATAAGCCACTCCCCAAAAAAAAGGGGGGGGGGAAAGTGAAGGAAACAACAACAAAAACCAAAAACACAACATTTTAGTACTGAGCTTATGGGAAAAAGTAGACAAGGGTGCAACAGAAATTAACCGAACTTTGTGAGAAATAAACAAAACACGGTAAAAAAGACAGAAAGAAAAAGAGGGAAAAAAAGAAACTGAATTTGATTAAAGTGTACATGCAAATGTTGTCAGTATGCGTGAGTTTGAGCATGCGTGCTGACATGCATAACACAACACAGTGTGTCCGTTTTACGTCAAAGATTGTTGTTCAGATAACATACCTGGATTTTCATGATTCCTGCCACTTGGGTGGTGGAGGGGGAGATGGTAAATTTCCATTCTGACCTCCAGCGTCCATTCCTAAACAACGAGAAGGAAAGATAAACACACTTCAGTCAATTTTACTTGACTCAGCTAACTGTCCAGTACACTGGCTCAACTGTCATCGCCTATACTGAAAAATAAACAGAAAAGGTATATGACTTTGTGTTTTTGGTCAACAACAGTGGCAATACAGATAGTAAGAAAGGTATTCACAGCAGTGTAGCATCACATTTAAAGACCAGTTAATGTGCGCCTTCATTTAAAGCAATGTAAGAGTTTCTTGAGTTAAGATGACATAGAAGAGTTTTGTTAAGATCCATAAAGATGTAAAGTGTTACACCTTGTTCACAGAGTTCCTCTGTGTTATGTCAGTAAAAGCATTACTAATGATGGACCAACAGCTATTTACGTCAGTGAACCATCTCCTAATATGTAGTGAACAGACATGGAAATTAGTTTGGACACTCTACTGCCAATTTTCTTAATTTGACTAAAATTTGCATACTACATTGAAGTTCTGGGTTATTACAAAGTGCTCTGATCAAATATGTGGTCTTGAGGTCAGAACCGACCTCCCATCCAATTCGGCCAACTGGGTGACTTTGCAAAGGGTGTCCAATTTTTCAATAAAATGCACTTCTATTTTAGTGTGGGGGTGCAAGCATTACAGAAGAGTAAAAAATGATATTTACAGATTTTGACAAATTTTTGAATCATTAAGTTCTAATATATCTTTTTTATTAGATACAAAATCTCCATGTGAAGGTTTTGATCCTTTTCACTGTGATTTGCAAATCAAAAAATAAATAAATACAATTTATTTCACTTTCGAACCATAGGCTCCTCATTACAGCAGTCACTTACAGTAGTTTTGGGATTACTACACCCAACACTTATAAGACCAATAAGACCCAGCAGCAAAGAGGATTGGTGCAGTTCTTATCCAATTAGATTAACCTGATCAAAATCAACAGAGTCTAACAGTCCAGAGTTATGTGCCAATTACTGCAATGTCCTTAAACACTTCAAGAAACATTTGAGGATTTCAATGGTTTTATTGTATTTAACATGTAGTTGTTCTTAAGGATAAAAATCATCTGCCTAAATACTAGTACTGAAAAAAAAAATTCATCTGAAAGCAGAAAGGGAGGAGACACAAGAAATATCAGAAAATATAAGGGAGGGAAAAAAATATCACACTAACGTTTTGACTGTTTTATACATACCAGAAGTTTTTTGGTTGAAACTGATGGCACTCAATGCACACGATGATAGTTTGATGTCCATCAATGGTTTTCGCATAAATCTGAAGTTAAAAGACAAAAAAGACACTTTCAGATTTCACATGCAACTCGAGGCCACTTTTGTGAACTCTTTTTTTTTTATAAACCTGACCCTGGCATGGTACTAAGAGGATGTCATATATACACAACACATTTAATAAGTAGGACAACAGCTGTTTTGCAAAGTAAAAGGCAGGCTTATCTAAATACTGGCCTGCTACTGCTTCCTGCTTGAAACTGATTAAATTTGACTGTACATGTTGTATTTGATCACTAATAACATTAGGCTACTTTTAGCTGCTAATTTGTTGCAAGGGATTAAAAAAAAATAGATACCCTTCCTGTTCCAATCCCCCAGGGTTAAACGAATGTATAAAACAAAATGTTAATCTTGAAATGCAAGTGGAAACAAAATGAAGGGCACTAAAGTTCTAATTTTATAGAAAACAGATCTCCGAATGAAGAGGATCACTATGCAAAGACAAGAGACTTTGGTCCTAAAAGCTCTGGTTTATGTTTCTATTCTGAGCAGTTCTGTTGAATTGTGTGTGACTTTTAAATGTATCTGTTTTTATAAGCCTGTAGGAAAACACCAGAGAACAGTGAGCTTCAGTCCCAATTATCAGTCATCTATATTACACACAAGCCTCTGCTGTTAAGTTTAGAGCAATGTGTAATAGTTGTAATGTGTGTTTTGAACTCCAGAGTCAGATCCTGTGAGAAAACTCCCTCTTGCTTGATGTTTTCATAAACTAATAGCTTTAAACACACAATGAAAAAATGAACTTTCTGAGGTGAGCAGTTCAGTTATTCTGGTAACAGAGTGGGCTTGAACATACGGTGCAGACACCGCTCGGATAGTGCTCCTTGACATAGGCCCTGACAGCAGAGTCCAAGGCACTCCTCCAGCCTTCCAGGGAGCTGTCAACATCATGGGGCCGTGGGTCACTGGCCTCCTTCCTCAGGTGGTCAAACTTGAAGGAGATCTTATTCTTGGGGTCCAAGACCCTGCCATTCCCAAGATCACCATGCTCTGTGATTAAGACCTGAAATATAAAGTGGGGGGTAAAGGAATGAGAAAGAGAGCTGTGGGAAGGCCACAAGGGAAATAGAAAATGAAAGAGCACTGGAAAAATAAGTAAAACATGTAAGAAAGAAAAATTAATAAATAATCCGACAAGAACATGCATGGAAAGAGAACAGCACAATAAAGAAGTAGAGCTGTGGTAAATTATCTAAGGAGACAGGAGAGATGAAGAGGAAACAAAAGGATGAAAAGAGGAGGACGGAGAACAATAGGAACCACAGGCATCAGCCTGAACTTTCCATCTTCTGCCTTTCACCTCAACACTTAGCTCAGCTAGCTGGGTACCAGACAGGGGAATTTCAGCCCAGCATATGGGAACAGAGGGACATGATGACATCTTTACATAAGACAGTGCAATCATTACTAAAGCCAACACAGCCACATTCATTCAGCAGTGTTCAACCTTCACACAAATGCACAGCAAGCAAGAAGTGACATTTAAATAAAAGTGGCTATGTGATCCTGTTTTGCAGGAACTAAAGGAGAAGATTCAGACTTGTTTGATCTTTCATCCAATTTTATTTGTCTCTTTTAATGCCAATGATACAATTATACTATGTTTTGCGTCACTTAAACCATAATATATTTGGAGGCTACCATCTCTCTTCTAATCCTGAAGTCCAAGAAAAGTGTCACTTTTTTTAATTTCTGATGATAGTCTTGGCTGGATGAGCTAAAGAAACAGATCTCTATAAAACTGTGCTTTTACGTTACAGGAACGTCACACTTGTGACTGCCTGGTCCACATGGAAAAAGTTTATGAACTGAGTCACTCATTCTTCTGATGTGCATCAACTATAGCAGTATCTAACTGTGCGTTGGAGTTATAAAGTGACTAATGCCAAAAGTAATAAAAGTCCTGTTCTTTAGCTTCTGTATTGCTACCATAACCTCAGGGTCAAAAAGCAAAGCATGAGCTCACCTGTTCTTCGTAGCCCTCAATTTTCACGGGGGTAAACTGGTCCAAGTTGTACTGTGCAAATGCACTACGGAGAGAGATACCAAGTTAGTTAGATCGCAAACACAGGAGTCCCGCCTTGCTGGCTATTAAAACTTTTCAATCTTAATATTTGTTGATTAACTTGTAACTATTCAGCATGTCCAAGTCTAGAACTCTTAGATGTAAACTGAATGGTTTCTTCTTGTTGTTAACGTGTTGGACAGGGGAGAAATGGTCAGGTGTAAAAACCTAAGCAACTAAAACTAGTCTGGTCTGTGAATCTCAAGTTGTAGTCCTTTTTCATCTTCAGTTGTTGCAATGCAAATCTGTATTTTCCATCTAACATCTGAAAATTTTTAATTGTGGAAATAGCACAAGGGAAGACTTACTGCGCTGCACCTTCCCTGAGCAGATTGTCATTGTTGAGCAGCAATCGCACATCTAAGAGGAAAAATTGTCATATTATTAATGGTGGCAGAAGAGGAAAGAATACAGGAACAGCAGATTATCTCCATGACACGCACACAAACACTAAAGTCACAGCTGCCAGCAGTCAGTGTTTGCAGCATCTATGCCAGGGGAGTGAAGCAGACATGGTAAATTAGCTCAGTGGAAAAGGCTATAATCACATAGAGATGAAAGGGGGGAAAGTTGCAACAGGGGACTGTTTTTAGTGTGTGCATATGAGTGTGTGTGGCTGACAGGCTGTGATAAGCGGTAAACAGACAACCCCAAAGGCGTTCCTCTGAGGTGACGACATGTACCGGGCCAGGATGAGTCGTTAACAAAGCCAAGACACACATACACACTGTCTCGAGGGGCACTACTGTGACAGTGTGGTGTCAACTCTGGTGCTGCAGGGCGAGACACATTTTGAGCAAAACATCACAGTCTCAATTTAATTTCCTGGTGGCCATAAAATCCAAATAATGGATTCTATTTTAGGTCCTCTGTATTAACTGAAACCAAAACTATTTTAGTGTGAGAAACCTACACAAAGACACAAAACAGTGCTGCACTGACACAGTACTGTAATGTACATTAATGGTGTGTACATGACTTGCTCTCCAATGATGGTTGAAAGGGTGGCAAAATGTATGGACTCCCTTTTGTACTATTTATTTCAATGTAGCCAGCTATACTGTATGTAAAAGGGTTAGGGCATACACAACAGAAACACAAATACAGCATTCATCCTGAGCAGTTCACACTTCATTGATGCCTCCTGGCTCCGATGTTGACGAAAGCTGTCAAACTAAAAATAAAAACTAACTAAAACAAGTCTCTAATTGTTTACTTAGAACATAGTTGGCACGGCTTTAAAGCATGTACCAAAGGCTGCTTTACGGTCTTGGAGCACCTGTGACCAAATCATTTCCTCTAGGACTGACAAAGTATTCCGATTTTTTTTGTATTTACACCAGGCAGTATTTTAAAAATTTCAGCACCGCTGACATTTTATTAGTGGGTTTAGTAACATGTTCTAATATGTGTGTTCTGCTGCTTAATTTTTGATATTTTTCCCAGCTAACCAATTCCTCAAGAGGCGCTTGCTTTTTCCAGGGGACCAGAGAATGAGAATATACTCTCAATGATTTGGACACTTAAATAAAGGTGACTCATTACACCATCTGATGGTGCAAAATGGTATAATACCAAAGTACATCTAGGTTCTAACACAAGTTGAAGTTAATATCTCTTCAACAAAAGACACGGATGATAAAAAATGTAAACATTACCCATATAATTATTTATATCACATTTTCACTGTTTGCCTTTCATGTTTTCACTTCCCTCACTTTTACATTTAACAATAGTTTTTGTCAATACAGAGTTACTGGAAACTGTAACAAAACAAAATTTGCTGCAGACAGTCTCTTTATACATAACAGTCAAGCTATTCAAATACATTTTTATGTATTTATGTTTTGTGATTGCAGACTCATACATTGCATTAAATTAAAAGTCCTGAGCAATGTAATCTTTGTTAATCTTAGGAAAGAATATACAGAGGAACAAGAACAGAAAGCTCACCATTGAAAACTTCATTAAATTCTCCTGGTGGGGCGTGGATGACAAAGTTAGCCGCTATGCGTACCTAAAACCAAAGATAGAAGGCAGAGGTTACATGTCAGTGGTCTGATATAAACACCAGAAATATCAACGTGTTGCCTGCATTTTAAATAGGTGCTAAAATGTGACATTCATATTTAGCTCAAATTCACAGTGTAAACATGTGTACACAGTGCCACCAACAGAGGGTGTAACATGACTGTCTCACTGGTTTGGAGGGTGGAGTGAGGTTTTTCTGACATTTCAGTCTCCAGAACATCTGAGCAGCATCGAACAGTCTTTTTTTTTTTAACCTCCTATACTTCTCTTCTTCTGCTATACCACAGCACTTCCTGTTTCCAGGTCACATGTCAAACTGACAGCCAGCTGACAGCCCCTCCCTCTCCTGCTTGCTTTACAACCATATAAGGAAATAAAAATGTGCTGAGCACTAGTACACACGGTCTCTTGCCCTACCCCTATACATTTCTACCTCACTATCATTGGCAGGGGACAGCAGCTCAGCCAGGTTCCCTCTCATCTCACAAGCTGGTATATCAGAGAAAGTGTGCATATGAGAGAGAATGTGTGCGCACGTGTGGGTCCTATGGGTTCTTATTAGTGAGTGTATATACACTACTGCTAGGCACTCACAGAGAGCGGCAGATTGATTTTTGCTAATGAGCAATGCTCAGAGAAGGGAAGGCACTTGGGAAACAACGTGTGTCTCTCTCTGTTATGCTGAGATCAAAGTTTATCTGCATTAGTCTAATCTGTCATGAGATCATCATGACCCAGTTACATTAAACAACAAAAAAAATGCATGTGCATTTGAGCACATAACAGATAAACACAGTCTTTGCTAAACAGATGGCAGAAAACTGTTTGTGTGTGTTTATGACTTGAAATCCCTGCGGGAAGACTAATTTGCATTGAGTTTCCCTCATTATACTGGACGGCAGTGTAAACAGACTGCATCACTCTCACGCACACACGCACGCACGCACGCGCACACACGCACGCACGCGCACACACACATGCACGCGCACGCACACACACACACACATGCATACGCACACACACATGCATACACACACGCACACACACATGCACGCACACACATGCACACATACACAAACGCACACACACATACACGCACACACACATACACGCACACACGCACGCACACGCACGCACGCGCGCACATACATGCACGCGCACGCACACATGCACGCACACACATGCACACATACACACAC